GATGAGGGCTGATGTTCACCAAGATTATTGAAGGGTTCACGTCGGATATAGCTGGTGTCATGAGGTTTTACAAGGTTGCTAGAGTTACAGGCGTTTGGAGTTGAGAGTTCATGTTTCAGGGCTTGAGGTTAGGGTCAGAGTTTTAAGCCCTGGGTTCAGAGTTCGGGGTATAGGAGTTAAGTCAAATCCGTAGGTCGACGACCAGGTTATATCTTCGGTGCTTCGCCGACCTTGGATGCTCCTCCGACGGTGGTCCCAAACGCTGTGATTACCGCCCTCGGCTCCAGGTGGAGTCGGTCGTCATTGCTGCGGGCTTCGGTTAGTTGAGGGTAGTGTTTAGGTTTTGGGGTTTAGGTTTCTTGAGGATTAAGGGTACTTATTGCGGTGCCCCAGTCCCAAGCCTATGCCCCGATTGTAAGGTTTGGGTTGAGGGTTCCTGATAATTTAGAGTGTCCTCATACTGAACGAACTCTTATAAATAGTACAGGTATTCGCACTACCAATTGGTCCGATAGCAGCAAAATGCAGGAACAGACCCGAAACCTTAAACCCAAACCCCAAAGCCCCTAACCCTAAACTAAACCCTAAACTCTAAACCTTTGAAAGCTCATAACACGCGATGAAAGACAGAAATCCTAAAGCATCCTCTCGCGAGCTAACGTCCTTGTTAGAGTTGTTAGAGCTTCGGGATTGAGGTTTTAGGGGTTTAGAGATGAAGGGTTTAGGTTTCAGCGATGTAGGGTTTAGGATTAGGCCCCATATAGCCTATTATGCAGGTCCTAAAACATGTATATAGTAATATAGTAGGTATTTTGGGGCTACGGTCAGGTATGGCCCAGGGAAACTAATTTTTTCAAGCTGACCATTAGAAGCAGGCAATCCCATCCGACAAATGCCGGCCAACACCTAAATGCGCAGCCGAAGACGCCCAATACATGGCCGCTGTCCGGCAAAAGCCTGGTTAGTACACACTATCCCTAGAAGCCAAACCCTAAACCGTCACCTAGTTCAACAGACTGCCACATTAGCTAGCTACTGTTCCTGAACGTGTGCTGGGATCACAAGGCACCCATAGACCAGTAAGCCACCAGAGTATCCCTAAACCCTGTCAAGCCGTGACACCAAAGGTAACCAAGCCATCTTCCTCAGCCGGTTTAGGGGCGAAGCCTCATGCCTTTCGACTCCCGGAGCTTTGACCCCTCGCCTACAGGCCCAGCCCGGAAACACTACGTGGGGTAGTTCCCTAAACTAGGGTCGCTTTTAGGGTCCTTGTTAGACGGGTGCCGTACCATGTTGGGGACCTTACAACGGGACCTTGATATGGAGAACCACCCTGTTTTTGGGTTTAGGGCGAAGGACTTAGGGTTCGTAAGCCCCGCGAAACCCGCAACACTCCGAAGTTCGCGCTTTGCAAACTCTGAATCCCCGTACTAAGCCGTATAGTTTAGGGTTTAGGGCGCGAGATGCTCATGACTCTCTGCAGCCTAAAAGAATCTGCAGCCCACTAAGCCTTACAAGCTTGAAGCTCTCAACCCTAAACCCTAAAAGCCTTAAACAGGTGGAAGGAAGTTGTAGTGGTCTCTGAGAGTGCGCTGATGGCGATCTCCGGAGGTCGCTGGCTAAGGATTCAGGGTTTAGGGTTTAGGAGTATATAGGGTTTAGGGTTCAGGGGTTTAGGGTTTAGGGTTCAGGGTTTTAGGGCTTGCGCTTTTTTCAACGTTTGACGGGGTTTAAGGCTCAGGTTTCAATGTTCAGAGTTTAGGGGTTTGGGTTCAGGGTTCAGGGTTTGGGGCTAGGGGTTTAGGGGTAATGGGTTTATTTAGGGTTCAGGGTTTAGGGTTCTGCAGGCGTTTAACCCTCCGATCCTTGAGAAAGCTCCGACCTGAAACCGCAAACCTGAAAGCCTTATCACCCTAAGCCCCATGATCTTGGGTCCTTAGCCCTGAGCCCGAAAAACCCAGAAGCCCGCATAGACGAAAACGAGGCACCCACGAACCTCCGGGATGGGCCTGTCTGCGCGCTGTGCCAGAAATGGCTCCCTTTCACCACGAGGCAGTCATGGAGTTCGTGCTTGCCCAAACAAATATTATATAGTTCCAGTATTCAGTATTCAAGTTTCAACCAGTATCCAACAGAACGTCCGTTTCTGGAACCTACTTCGACCAAGCAAGGCTGCTAACTCGGGGTATTTGAGTCGGCGTCCTGCAAGTTGTCATGATAAGCCGACACAATTGACAAGGGGACGCCACGTCTCAATGCAAACCTGCACTTCCGTTTGATTCCCTAAACCCTTCGGTCTCCCAGCGGGCTCTTCTTTTCCTTGTGTGTATTCGTAACTAGGTTGATTGTAAAGCTGCCAAATTACCCTAAACTCTAATCACTAAACCTTAGTGGACCTACCAAAACGGAGTCCTCTTAGTCTTTGGTTACTGGCATTCTAGAACCCTCAACTCCGGTTCCCCGCTCCCTTGCTTCCATCATATTCCAGCTGACTCTTCTTTCCCAGAACCCTCTTTGGGGGATAATTTAACAGTCAGAAAAAACATACAACAAATTAAACTACTATACTATAAGGTACTATCTGTAACACGACCGTGAACCCTGACCCCTGGACCCTAAACCCTATTTAAACCCCTAGCCCGACAAAGAAAAGCAGAAACACTTCCTGAACCCTGATCACAAGCACGATGACGCCCCTAAGCCTTAATCACCTGATCACTAGACTCTAAACCCTAAACCCTTAACCTTATATAATCCCTAAACCCTCAGCCCTAGAACCCCAACCCTGAATGCAAGGCCTATGCCTATGCGCGGCACCTGTCTCTGGAAGCCTTTCGAGCAGAAGTACGTGCGGCAGATGCTTCTTGGCGCGAGGGTTGAGGCCTTAAGGGCTCAAGGGTTTAAGGCTTACGTACCTAGACCCCAAAGTCCCCACCTTTGTAAGGACTAAGGGTTTAGGGTTCTAGGGTATCTACAAGGGATCTTCAAGGGATCTAAGTGAAAGTGATCTTGAAGGAACATATTAAGGGATTTTAGACGATGAACTATTGCGATTTAGAGTATCGGGTTGAGAGTTCAAACGGTTTCGGGCTTGGTGCTTGCATTGATCGGGTTCACGATTTAGGATTTCCGCTGCAAGGTCTGGTTGAAACGGTTTAGGAGTTCAGGGTTCAGGGTTCTATGACAACCAAGGACAAGCAATGGAGAATTACCTAGGCTGACTTGGATTGCGAGTCTTAGGCTCAGAACGAACGACTTGCAGTTGCGGCTGGTACCAGAAATGAAGGAATCATCGCAGGAAACCACGACACCACGCAAAACACCGACTCCACACGACCCGATAAACTCCATAGGCAACTGCTGCAGACTCTTTGTCGGTATGGTCAACAAGGCGGCTGTTCAGTGGTATCTAGATATACCTATAGATTATACATGTATGAGGGCACGCATTTATGATTGAATATTCAGAATACCCAAGTCAAGAACCCTATATATGATGCAGTTTTATACAAGGGAACCCTATATATCATAGAACCATATAGTACTCTTTATGAGGGCTCCTTGAAGGGTCCTGCAAGAGTCCAGGAGTGGTCCGTATCTCGCGCCGCCAAGAACCGCCTTAGGGAGCCTCTGTAAGCAGTTGGGCACATCTTTCCGGATGATTTCATGAGGGTTGGGGCTGAGGGATTAGGGCTAAGGGAAGTTTAGGGAAGTTTGGGGTGTAGGGAAATTTAGGGTTTAGGGTCCTCACAGCTTTTTTTGGTGCTAAGGGGGTGAGGGTTTAAAATAGTCAATGTGGAAGCTTGGTTTCTCCAATAGAAGTATAGTACACTATCCCCCAAAGAGCTGTTCTAACTATTGAAACCCTAAGCCCTCAACACCATGCCCCAAATCGCTATTCTAACGATAGATAACAACCCAGATGGGGGTCCGAAGGCTTTAAGGTTGGGGTCGGGAGTTCGTTTAGGGTTGAGGGTTCAGGGTTTAGGGTTTAGGGTTGAGGGTTTAGGGTTTAGGATTTAGGGTTGAAGGTTTAGGGTTTAGGGCCCAGGGTTGAGGGTTTCTGGTTTCGGGATCCCCGAGCTTTGCCTTACCCTACCGTGACCCAGCCTTTACTTTTGCATCAGCGGTTCCATAGAACTTCTGCGTTGAGGTTTGTATGGAATCCTTGGCAGTAAGGGACTGTCAGTTTAAGGTGAACCATACTTGAACCGGATTCACAGGGGCTTAGATGTATTATTCTTAGGGATCCGTATCATAAATCATAAATATATCACAAAGGAGACCAAAACCCTACTCCAATTATGAAAACCCCTACATTAGGGTCATGACTGGGGCTCAGGGGCAAACCGAGGTTTTTGGGTTTTAGGGCTTGCAGCTGCAGGGTTTTGATGGTTCAGGCTTTAGGGTTTAGGGTTTGCGCGCATTCCCCTGACCTTGGCGAACTAGAGGGTCTATAGAGTCTATATCCCGCACGGTCCCCGAAATCCTAACTCCTAGTCTGGAAATGCCAGAGCGTCTTCTCAAGCTTCCACATGAGACCCTAAAGCCTGAATTTCTGAAGCCCTTAATCGCAGAATCCTGACATTCGTAAAGCTGCAAGCCGATAAAGCCCTAAGCCTAAAACCTGAAACCAGAAAGCCCTAAACTCTGAACCCTAAAGAAGGAAGCTGTTCGCTTCTGGACCTGGAGTGACTCGGAGCCCTCGCCCAAGCAGTCTGAGCGTCGAGGCAGGGCATGTTCGGTAATTATAGCAGTAGTACTAGGGTTTAAGGTTTGGGTCTAGTAGTAGCAATAATTAACAATAATAATGATGAGAAGAATGATATTAATAATACAAACAATAATAAGGGTTCTCATAGGTAGTAACAGTAGAAGTAGTATTGATGTCAGACATGCTTCTGATTTAAAGGACATCATGGTGATTTTCGCAGCTCGACAGGTTTTCTGCTTATGGGCGATTATTCGGTGCTGAAAGTTTGGCTTCAATGGGATACTTTTGGGCTTGATGGGCATCTAGGGCATGTGTGTGCAAGTGCCATTGGAGTTGATGGGTGTAGGGCCCTTGAGAGGAGGATTTGGGCACGGTTGGAACGTACATCTGTGACCTGTGAGGTGTTTTCGGGCTACTGTAAGCCTGCAACTCCAAAAAGCCCAAAGAAGCTACTATTCATGCACTGTAACCCCCCGAAGTAAGTACTGTTTGTGAGTTCTTACGGTATCGGCATGGGATGGTGGCTTCTGGGTTCAGGCGTTGTGGTGTTGCTTGTGGCTTCGAGGTGTGCGACTCTATGGTACGGATCTGCTGAGCAGGGGTAGGAGAGTTTGGGTCTCCAATTTACGGTATGCTGCTGGCGAAAAGGCCTAACGGTTACCTTAAGATTGTTTGCATTCGAAGGTATTCATCCCCTGTAAGAGGCTGTCAGCAAAGAATGACTATCAGGTACGTTGGACCGGTAATGAAGGAACCCTTGCAGGATATCTGAAAGGAAGCCTTACGAACAACAGAAGAAGCCTCATACCTTCAGCCTTCAAGCTCTGACCCCGTCCCCCCGACACTTAATTAGAATGCAACAGCGGGGCCGAACAATCAGCAGTACTATTCTATAGTATAGGACGCGTGACTTAGTATAGTATCGTATAGCCTTTAGGATTGCTGTAGTAGTGAGTCAGGCTTCTATATTATCCTGAGCTGTACTCCCTATACCTCTTCACTTCGCTTCTTCGGTTTAGGCTTCGGGTTTCCGGCTTGGGACAAGATGAGACGCAGGTTTAGGGTTTAGGATTTAGGGTTCAGGTTCAGAAACCCTCAAAATGGAATGTGCCGTGCATCACCTAGGGGGTCCTATCATGATTAAAGGTGTACCAATTCCTTGACTCAGCGGCATGACACCCGGTCTCGCGAAAACCTGATTGAAGAGGGTCTCTGCCCCATTGGTTGGTGGGATTCGAAGTCTCTTCTCAGAGCGATGCCCAAGGAGGCTCGGAAGGCACTTCGCCAGCTCGGACGTTGCAGCCTGCCGGAGACCGCTTGTCGCCAGCGGGCCGCACTAGAGGTTCACAACCTAAAACCCTCAACTTGAAAGTAAGAAGGCCTACCAAAAGGATGTGGAGTTTCCGGCTGTGTCGGGCTTAGAATTAGAACTTAAGAGCTTAGAGGTTTAGGGTGTAGGCCGTGCAGACTTTGGAATAGAGTCTTAGAGTATGGCAGAGTAAACCAGTGTAATCCAGCCTCAGTTTCCGGAGATCGAAAGAACTCGGAATCGTGTGTCTTGCAGTGACCACCATGGCAATAGTGTTTTGGTGCGGCCACTGGTTTTTGTAGGCCAGACTGACTGATTTGCATATGTTTTACATCGGGTTGAACCTACCAGAACCTCCGACAAAACAAGCGTTGGTAATCCTCTTCCAACTTGACTGTTTGACGACCCCGGCTATACGAGCTGCCGCAGCCCACCGTCCCGCTGAGGCCACTCTGCCGGTTGGAGGAGGACGAGATGCTAAACTTGAAAAAATACAGATACCCCTCACCCCTCCGCCCGCCCCTACCGAAAATGCAGAAACGGATCATCCCGACGCACTCGAGCCTCGAAACTCTGAAACCCCGCTAACCCTTAGCCCTCGCCCAAATTTCAAGACCCTTCTTCCATGAGCACCCCAAGCCATCAAGCTTTCGCCTTCGAAACCCCGGAACTCCGACTCGGCGCTCCGACTCTCTGCCATAGAGTAACCGAAAATAGGAACTACAATGAAGACTGTATGTAACTTGCCGATCTGCCTAAGCTAGGCTGTTCGTTGAACCCAACTCCAACAGCCCTATAGGACCAAAAACTCAAGCAGGCGCTTCAAGAAACAAACATCCCCCCCCCCCCCCCCCCCCCNNCCCGAAACCCCTATAAGCCCTAAACCCAAAGGTCCTAAGCCCGACCCTGAAGAGGAAGAGGAGGACATCGACGACTCACAGCAGTTTTCCATCAGCCTCTAACCGTCGCTCGAGAAGGCCTTGGAGACTCCAGCGTTATACTGTACAATAAAACCCGAATCAAACTGCAAACCCTGAACCCTAAACCCTCAACCCTCAAAAACCACCTAACACGGAGCCCACGGGCTGCGTCCGAATCCTTAAACTGTTGTGCTGCGGTACGGTAGAAGCCAGAAAGTTGGAACATCACTATCCTAATGCCATTTAAGGTAAAGTATAGGGGAATCCCAGCACTAATCATCCTAAATCCATGTTCCAATGTTGTGAAGTTCACAAAAGATAGCTCAACACAGGGACTTCTGCTGATGGTCAGTGTTTAGGGATCAGTGAGGCAAGTTAGGTTGCAGAGCTTCTGATAATACAGGTGGAATGATTTCGTGTCTGCATGCGGATCCTTCGGCTTTTTTCCTGAATCTTGTCAAGTCGGGCATTGGGAATGGGGTCTAAAGTCTAAAGCGTGTTGAGTTTACGCTAAGTCTAACGATCCCATTCTTAATCTACAGGAGCAGGACTTTGGTTTCGGTGTATTACCAACATGTGAAGTTGCAGAACAAAGGGTGCCGACGTAGCGGTTCTGGGCGGTTCTGAAAACTAGCAAAAAAGGCGGCAAGGCAAGTTGTCGGGGTTGGGGCTTATAGGGCCTTGTGGGTTTTGGGCTTTGAGCTTCAGGTTTGGGGCGTGTGGGAGGTAGTATAGGGGCCTGAATGGCTTCGGTATACTTTGAGCTATGCTGGTGCTAGGGACTACAAACGAAGAGTACTCTTCGAAATCATTCCCGGGGCTGGCGGGGCTGGTCACGCTGTACAGCCGCCACTTTCTGAATCCCACAACAGCACAACTCCGAGCAACCCCCGGCCTCAGAAGCCATCATTCATTGTTCCAGTTTTTCAGCTTTTTACAGCAAGCCGCACTCAAAAAGCTCTAAAGAGGGATCAGGGCTAGCTACGCAGTTCCGCCCGTCTATAGACTCGATAAAGCATGTGTGAACACCCCGAAAGTTCTTGTAAGACGCCCTATCGAAACCCATAAACCTCTATGAAATATGAGAACCCACCCTAAACCACCAAGCCCAAAGTCTTCAACCCTAAACCCGAAACTCTTGCTCCCTTAAGGTGTAGGATTTAGGCTTTAGGGGTTTAGGGTTTTGGAGCCAAGAGCATAAAGAGGTTCAGATCTTCCAGCTGGTTGCTGCGACGGTGGGCGGAGGACGGGTTGAAGCTCGCTTTTTCTGGTGCTTGACCTTCTGGCTCGTGCAGGAATACCACTTGCGCATGAGATCAGCCGAGTGGTTTCAACTTTTAGCGCTTATGCGCAGGAGACGGAGGTGACCCACAGACTGAGAACTTGGAGGTCGGCCCCGTTGTCACCAAGCCGCTATATAAACCTGAAACCGTTAGGGTTTAGGGTTTAAGGTTCAGGGAATTAGGGTTTAGGGTTTAGGGGTAGCGCTCGCAATGATGACCTCTTTGGGCTTCTCTCGCATCCAAGAAAAGTGCCGGAATGCTCTCCTTGTAGCTGTAGCTGAAGTAAACTGCCAAGAGAGAGCTTTGCTTCGAAACTTGTGTCAGCGTGGTTTGAAAGGTGGTCTTTGAGCAGTGAGTAAAATTACTGAATTACAGTGGTCTTGCATGGCTCAACATCTTAATACACACCCCTTAACCCTATTCGTTCTCCGTTTGAGCAACCCTTCTGTGAGCCGTTTACATGTCCCGGTAATGGAGCCCCATGGAACCCACACTAAACCCTAAACCCCTAAACCATAAACTCTACAGTTGTCAAGGCCCCTATATTCGGCTTGCAAAAACCGTGCTCAAAAGCCCCCTGAGGCGGAGACCAGCAGTGGTGTGCTCCTTAATAATATTATGCTATACTGTACTATAATTGTTTATCCTGTACGTACTATTCCATACCATTCCATACTATACTGACTATACTACTAGTATGCTATACTTGACTGTATGGGCTTGTCGGCATCGGGGTGTGGAATGTTTGCCGCATCTGGTGAAAGTTCTAGGGGTCGGAATGACTAGCATACTTAGTATACCACAAGACCCTACCTCAATCATTAAGGGCCTTATATTATGCGGGTCGGGGAATATTTAGGCTTCGGGTGAGTCGGGTTTCGTGCTGATGGTTTTTGGCTTTTCCCAAGGACGTCGTAAAGCGCAAAAGGAAGAACATTTCACTTCATCATGCCGCCACTTTACCTGAAGAGCAGCTATTGATGATAGTTGTTATTGATTTCTGTTTTTTTGTTCCGGCGGGCTCCCGCTAGATCCTCTGCGCCAGGCAAGAGCCCAACGCAAGCATGCGCTGCGAGAGGCGCAGGAATGGTCAAGGAGCTGAGCCTACCTAGGGTTGAGGTTATGGGACCTAGTAGCTAGAATGAAAAAGACCCATCATTCTTCAAGTAAGCCTTAATCACTAGCCCCTATTGAAAATCGTAGCTGGGAGCAAAATGGTTGCCAAGGGCCGCATAAAAACAAAAAAAACATAGACATATGGATCTCTCATTTGAGGCGTCCACTTAATCATGCGGTAAACTTAGCCCTGATCAACAACCCTCTTCCGTTTAACGAAGGGGGAGAGCATTCATCAGGGGTCTGCACCCTATAGAAGCATCAACTCCATAACACCCGATCAGACCCTTTAAACCCTCAGCACAGGATCTTAAAGCCTGTTGTTAAGTTTGCCCTCTTGGGTTTAGAGTTAGCCAGTTTAGGGTTTAGGGCCGGTTTAGTGAAGTTTAGTGGTTAAGGTGCCCTCTTGGGATCCAACTGGCTTTCGAGTTGAGGCATTTCCGAGGAAGATCGTGTGTTCGGCATGGACGAAAACTCGGAGAACTGAGAAAATTCAAGCTTAAAAGTCTTACAGTGAACCCCAGAAAGTTGGAACATGTATTTAGGATGGTTGGTCCGGGAATTCCCAATGCTTGACCTCAAGGGTGTGAGGATGATCACCTTCCAACTGTCTGGTTTCTACTGTAGCCCCTTAGTCGCATAGTTGTTAGTGGTTTTTTAATTTGTTTGAGTTCTAGTATTAGGTCTGTTCTCATTGTTGCAACAACCAAGCTGTGAAACTTGGAATCTGGATATCTTTCTCCTGCACGGAAAGCCCACTGTGAGGAGGAGAATCCGTTTCCCGTGCTTTACCAGCAGTCCGCAGCGTCGAGGGAGGGCCGAGGGTATGGGGTTTCGGGATTTGAAACTTTCTTGAGGAGATTATGGTTCAGGACTGTAGGGTTGGGAGTGCAGGAACCGTAGGCTGTTGTGTTGAGGGCCTTGGCCCGTAGGGTTAGGGTCTAGGACGTTAAAGGTTTAGGGAGTTGGATGCTGAATTGGTCGATACGCATTGTAGGAAGTTCGCAATGGTTCACGAGCAATTCAGGGTGGTTCAACGGTTTGGGCGTCGGGTTCAGGTTGGGTAAAGACCCTAAAACCTAAACCCCTAAACCCTAAGCCGGGAGAGGGCCTTCGGGCGTGGCGCGGTGCATGCGCGTTCTGGATAGCCAGACCCTCAAACCGGCAGCGTGAAAAAGCTGCGTGCCAGTGCCGAAGTGCGCGTAGGCCCAGCGCAGTTCGGAGATTTTGGCCGGGGTTGGGGCAAGTTCTCCATCCTAACCTTAAAACCTAAACGGCTATTTCTGCCAGTCAGTGAGTCGTCATGTGGGGGGGAAGATGGTTGAACAACTCGCAGACTTCGGCTCTGAGACCTCACCACTAGAGGGGGGGGTTCAGGAGTTTAGGGAGTAGGACTTAAGCATTGGCTTTCCGAGTTCACAGTCACATGTGCGCAGCATTTCAGATAGATAGGGGAGGGTTTTGGACACAGCTTTCCGGATCATAGGACTGAGCAAATAAGGCTCTAAGCAGCTATGAGCACGGTGTTGGGGTCAGTTTAGGTATTGTCACCATATTTCTCTAGCCCTACGGTTGATGGACAAAATTCTGCATGACCCAATGGTTTAGGTATTTCAGGTCATGCAGGATTTTGTCCATCAGCCGTAGTTCTTAAAAGTGCCACGATCCTCATACGTAAACACCGGAACCCTAGAACTCTAAACCCAAACTCCCATATACATCCCTTATGGAACCCTTTATTGAACCTTGTCTGACTAAGACCCTAAACCCGAAGCGCCTAAACCCCTAAACCCGTAACCTGCAAGCCCTAAAACCCTAAATGCGAAGGTTTAAAGCCCTCGAACTGCAGAGACTCAGGCACCCCACGTCGTCAGCAGCTGGCCCAGCTTTTTTGCTGTGAGGGTTTAGGGCTACAGGGTCTCAGGGGTTCAGGGTTTAGGGCTTTAGGGTCTTAGGCTTTAAGCTTTTGGAAGTCTGGGTTCTCAATATACCTACTTGTTCGAACGAGTACGACCGATCATGGGCCACAGGTAGCTGATGTTGACGACGCACAACCGCAGAGAGAGACAGCGGCTTCGAGTGTGCGAACCCGAAACCCTCAAGACTCCCACGAACCCTGACGCCGTATAAACTTGATATCCTCAAACTCCCACAATCCAGATCCCACTAGCACTGAAACCAGAAGAAGACCCAGAACCTGATGAACCCTAAGCAGTTCAGTGTTTGAGACTTGTGCGCTTTGGGGTTCAGGATTCGTATGCATGAGGATATACAGGGTCATGTCTATGAAGCAGACGTGTGCAGTATGGTATGGCATTCAAGCCACGAGCTATGGACTGGGCCGTGAGCGAAGGGAAGCCCTGAAATACCATCCGCATAGAGCCACACGCGCTGTGCAACCCTTTAAAAGGCCTTTCTTGTACCACTTAGAGATCGCAAAACGCCGAAACTTAAACCCCTAAACCCTAGACCTGAAGCCCTAAACCATGAACCCAAAATCCTAAACAGCGAGCGCAGCATGAGCAACCCCTCGCACCGACCTCAGCGTACTGAAACCTTGAACGATACCTCAGGATTCCAAAAGCCGACTGCCTTAAAGGGCTATACCCCGTAGCACAGGGGTCATATACTACTACTGTGTGG